CTGAGTCTTCATCAATTGTTACAACAGCTGAATTTCGTCGGAGTCGTCCATAGGCTCGTCGCTAGAGTCTGTTTCAATAGGCTCATAAGCATATGGTTGAATCATGTTTTGATCGTTAATCATTTCTTCGTAGTTTGAAACACTGCTTCCAGAATAATTACTAGAGGAATCGTTTGAGTAATCCGTATCCATTGCGCAATAAAAAATAGAAAATAAAATGCTATGAATATGCTTATGCGTAATTTCTACTTTGCTAGTATATTTTGTCCATGTTGACAACGATCACCGCGCAGTGACGTAACGACGAAAACCGCAGCTGGACTCGCTTCGCTTTGCATGTACACAATGGCGATCGAACAAGAGGCCACACATTTAAGGCATTATTTCTCGAGTTAAATTTGAATTGGAAACCTAGGATTTCGCGAGAGAGGTAAGAACAATATACACTTTCATATGAGTGAAAGTTGTGGCTTAACTGGTTCGACGGATAATGGAGTCTATGAACGCCAAAAACGCTTATTTTATTGGTCAATGGCCAGATCAGTGGACAGTCTGGAATGGTCTCGACTAATAATAGGGGTGGCCGGACGTATAAGGGAGTCCAATTACTATCTTACAATGGGTTCATTTGAATTTTTGTTTTATTGTGATTGGTTTGACGGATTTCGACTGATAGCCAACTGAACTAACATAGTCAAGCTCACTGTCTGAATTGAATGTTTGATCGTTTCATAGTAATTTATATAAGCATGATAGAAACTAAACTACAATCAGATGGAATTTATGGAAATCTTTTACAAATTGATATATTGACATGAATGCTTCTGTCCAAACTGTGAATTTTTTCAAGAGGGTGAAAAATTTATGGATAAATTGTAAATGCTTGGCAAAGACGATCTCGCGAGCGACATTTCAGTCATTGACGTTCAAAAGAAAGCCAACATTGTTTTGAGATTTATCAGCAGAAATTTACATTCAAAATCGTAAGTAAAGGACAAGTGAAGTGTATGCATGAATGTAATATATCAAAGTCAATTTATGCGAGTGTGCGATGCGATCTATGTCAATATGACGTACGGTAAGCAGATTGATGCTTCTAAAATTGTTGTTGCCGAAAGACTTTTAGCTATGATTTCTTTAGTGCTTGGGGAATCGTGGCCGTTATATGGCAGCGAAATTCTACATTCCTGCAAATATATTTCAATGGACAAAAAATCTGTAGCCATAAGGCGCCATACTACTATTTACTTTATCATAAACAAATCTTTGGGGCTTTTCAGTTTACGATCATTCATCATTCAATCATTGGACAGTTATACTACATATTGTTTAAGATTTGAGAAAACTAACATTGATTACATGAGAAGCTGTTTACTATAACCTGTGATTTTGAGTCTTCTGATCCATGAAGCTCTTTATTTTGACAATTTGACTGGAATGGTATTAAACCTGAGTATTTCACATACATGAAATGTTGTCCCATGTCACATATTGTCCCCTTTTCTAACTGAACACCTCATGTAGAGATGTAAAGGTGTGTTAATCTAGGGCTCATACCAGACTGTTTGCCATAAATTCCAAAGGGCTATTGATGTATGAAAAGCATTTTCTATAAAGTAAAAATGTCTTTCTATGTATGCAGATAAACCTTGAAATTTGGCAAAACAGCAAAGTATTTTTCATGATCACTAAGTAATTTTTCTGATGATCATTATAATTTCTAAACTAAATTATTTCAGATTTACATTTAAACGAGCTTTAATCATATGAAAAGATATTTATCATAACCAGTAAGCATGACACATGAACCAATTTTAACATTCATGTAATTATATAATTAAAGACATGTTGCTTACATTCTGTTTGTATTTACAAATACAATGCTACTAGTGATTGCTAAATAGCACACCTTGCATATATTTACAGAAGATAATAGTCTAGTGAAATGCCTAATAAACATTTATGGCATTAAGCTGTCCTTAACTGCAAATTTTCATTCTGATAATTTTTGCTTAATCCTGGGCAGAAAAAAATTTTGAGTTTTTTCTCAAAAAGTGAATTTGCTGGCACTGATGTGGAGATGGGTAAAGGGTTACAATAAACTTGCATGGTTTGAAGTCTGAGCTTTTCTATATCTATGAACTGTCACTTGTAGTACCAAATTTCTAACTTAACTCATTACATAGAGGTATGAATGGGGTCTCTAGGGGTCTATGCCTGACAACTTGGTAGAAATTTTAAAGACTATATCTGTTTTGAATAGCATTATTGTAAAATAAATTTTACGTTCCTAGACATACTAATGAGCCATATATTTGGCATGATAATGAGCCTAAACATTTGGCAAAACATTCAAGTATTGTTCACTTCATTTTTTTTGAAAAAAACGTAAGCAAAATGTGTTGTTTTTACGCAAAAACGATGCCCACAAAATACATTTTGTATTGCTCTAAAACGCTGAAAATGGCATTTTCAAGGCTCTGAAATACAAAGTTTCTCAGGGGAGAATGCCTCAGACCCGCCCAGGTGCGGAGCGCCTCCGACGTTTTATGACTGATGTTTGAAAAATCCTAGATCCGCCCCTGGGAGTGCTTTCTCGAATAAGTCGATTTTTTGTCAGAAATATTCAGATTGATTCCCCCATCTTTCTGTAAATTATCATTATGACATATTCCGTTGCGCAACAAATCAGTATGGGAGTTAAAGCTAAAAAAATCTGTTTCTCTTAGTGGACAAACGACTTGAGACAACCAAACGACCAATTTACACAATGTTTCGAAAGCGATATTTTCACCCGTATTTCAATTATAACTGTCCAATATGGTTTCAAAACACTTGAAATAAAGATTTGTTTCAATAAAACTTCATCGGAAGAGTTTGAAAACAATGAGAAGAAGTAAATTGCGAAAAATCAATTGCCCTATAGTGACTCTATGTTTTTGCCCGGTTCCCACGCCATCTGGATTTATCATGGATGTCACGCAATATGGCGGCTCGTCAGTAATCTAGACCTACTATATCCAGAGCCCTCTATAGTATAAGAGTTGGGACATCTATTGTTATCCGTTTAGCTTACGTTGATTGGGCAATATTGATCACCTGATCAATTTCCGCCATTTTGGTTCCTAGTTTTGAAATTTTAGCTTGTGTTTATATAGCAATTGCTGCTAGTAATACAGTATTTTGAGATAATATTGCGTTTTTTTATGGATAAGTGTGTAATAACTGATTGCTGAAGGCTACTAAATGTCATTACATATCGCATAAATCGAGGATTACGAAAAAAATGAAAGAAATGCCTTTATGTCGAACTTACGAAATTTGATTGCGTATGGTGATTGTTGTGCTGAACTGCTTTTGATATAAGGTTCAATTAACGGACTCAAGTAGAGAAACATTTTTGGGCCAAATAACATTGCAAAGTTCGTGCTGATGCAGTTTCAATAGTTTTCTTACTCCAAAGCTTGTTTTTTAATCGAAGATGATTTCTCATTATGTTCTGAAATTGGTCAATCTACAAACCTCTCAATTCTCAGCCACTTCCACACTAAAACAACTACACCAAATCACAGAAACTCTTATGATTTTCCATGTTGCATTTTGTATTTTTAGTTCATCATTTAAAAATGAAGTAATTATAATTAGGATATTCAATGAAACAGCTGAGTACAATATATTTTGGTATTGAATTGTACAAATGTACCCTACTTCTGTAGCTCAAAGTAGAACATTACTTCTCTTCTAGACTTGTTGATGATATTTTAATTGTAGGTTTTGGTTTATAAGATCACAGAGGCATATCTCCATAATTTCAGCTATTTGGGCTTTTTAATGTATATTACAACTGTTGCTGCCTTTCTCATATATATTAAAATATTGCGGCTTTCTGATATATATTTAGGTGCTGCTAGCTTTTGATATATATATTTCACTGGCAATACAAGGCATAGAATTTGAACAAACGGGGCTGAGCTCTCTCCAACACACCCCTGTTTGATCATTAAACACATATAGAAGTTTTGTCATTCCTCAACCAATAAATTTAACTCTTTGCTAAATTAAAGATTGGATCAGACTCATGTGCTGTATAAAAGACTACAAACAGTAGCATTTATAGCAAACAGACTGTTCTTCAACAACACAAATGTTTCATATTATAGAAATAATATATTCATTTTAAAGAAATGCTTCACCAAAATTTTCAGCAGAATCCCTTACAAACTTTATTAGAAATAAACTTTAATACTTTATAAAGTGATAAAGGCGAAATAACTTCACATACAGGAATAAAACGTTTAAGGTCAAATGCATCTTGGTCAAATCATTGCTTATTTCAATAACTAAAAAGTAAAAAAGTCTGTCATTTTCTGCTGAGCAAGAAAATTTTGTGATCTTTCAGAATAAAAATATCATGCTTGGATTAAATTTGGGGGCATAAATCACTCACTGCCATTAAATTGTTACAAATCTTGAACACAAATCTCCGGACCAAATCTGCATGATTACTATGATTCAAAGTTTCGAACAAAGTCTTGTCCAAGTATTTGATAACACTGATGCCAGGATAACATTGTCGCTTGCCACCAAGCTTAAAGATCTTGAAAACTTGTTACAGAGTCGGAACATAAGCCGAGAAAACACGTTCACGTACGAAAAATACTTCTTACAATGGGTCACGATCAATTTGAAGCACGAACTAGTAAACCGCAAACGAAGCTCAAACCAATGAAATTAAATCAGGTCTGCCGCAAATCGTTAAAAAAACGCAAAGAGCTTGCTATTATTCCTAATATATTTGATACTACCATGGAATAAGCTTATATTGCTTTCTTCTTTTGCATATAAACCCAATTTCCAATAGTATTATTATAATTTCACTTTGCAAGTAGGAACCAAAATGGCGGCTCCGCGCTCGCCCCAGACCGTTTGTCCCAACTCTTATACTATAGAGGGCTCTGACTATATCTATGCTGTAGAAGCTATATCCAGTCTATTATCAGATCAGTGCATGAGACAGATGCTGAAAGTCGATAGCAATGCATTAATTCATTTTGAAAACATTTCTTTCGCCACACACGAGCGATTTGATGTTCACCAGATCATAATAAAGTGAAACCAGAATTTCTCAGCAACGATATATAGCTTAATGGAGCCAACTGAAAATAAATGCTACACACTTTTGAAGCGATTCAACTCAAATACACCTCAAAAAGATGTGGTCGATCTCTACACCGAATGGGCTTCAACATATGAAAAGGTAAGCACAGTACTATAGCAATGTGTTGAAAAATATCAGAATCTTACAAATGTATAGAATAAAGCAAAGCTTAAAGGCACCGCTCCAAAAGGGGGCTCGGGGGAACTTGAGCTCCCCACTTTCTACCGAAATAAAATTTTCGCTAACATTTTAGCGTAAATTGCGGTAAGTTAAGACCTAGAAAATTTAGTAGATATAAGTCGTGGCCTCAGATTCAATTTCATAGCGCCGTCCCTGAGTTTAAATACAAATCACGTTAATGCTGTCAAACGTTCACTGTTATAATAATAATAATTATTAAACGAGCTGTCTGGCTACAGCCTTGACGGGTTATAAGGCTGTAGTTAGGAAGCTGAAAGCTTGTTTGATAATAAAAATATTATATCAGTGAACTTGTGACCGCATTATGTATAATCCTGATATCGGCCTCGCATTTTTTCCACATTGTTTATATTGATATGCTGTCGAATATTGTCAATATTTCCATAATTTCGTAAAAGCACTATTGACAATGCACATTTAATATAAACGACAGGCTATTTGAAAATAGATATGTTTCGACATCTCATGATGCCATCATCGGTATGAGTGAAATAATTATTTCACTCATACAAGCAGAATGCACTACAAATGTATATATACATGCAGCAACTAGTGAAGAGGAATTGGGGTAGTTGAAATTTGTTGGGCTCATGCTACTGGAACTTTTTTGCTAAATCTGAGATTTGTTGATTGCAGCGTAGTTCATGCATCTGCTCATAAAATCAAGATGAGCAGATCGTTGAGTTAGAAATCGAAATGGCGGCAACTGTATTAGCGTTTCATAGAAATTAAAAAATTGATTGAGACTTTTACTATATCTTACTTTTTCTTAGCATGCCCATGATATTAATTATACTGGACCTATGATTGCTGCTGAACAGTTTCACGAAAAACTGATTGAACAAAATTACACTCAGGACGTTGAAATTCTGGATCTTGGTTGTGGTTCTGGATTTGTAGGTGAACATCTGTACAAGCTGGGATATAAGAATGTAGACGGTATTGATATTAATGAAGAAATGTTGAAGCTTTCTGAAGCAAAAGGAGTTTACAGGTAAAAAAAATTATGTGAATATTAGGTTGAGTTTTACGTTTTATTTAAAACAGTGCTTATACCAATGTAAGATACAAGCACTTTTCTGGCATAGCTATATAGTATGAAAAATACAATTCATGAATTAACAAAATGCATTAACATAAAAAGATAATTTTGTTGAATTATTGAAAGTATCATGAAATTTTACCTTCATTATTGAAGGAACTTCAGCAGTTAGCTTTAAAGTGTCTTTGTTAATTTTAAAAAGTATGTGTTTTCTTGAACGACACTGTTGCACTGTATTTTGTCAAATTCAATGCAATACTGTAATTATATAATTAATCTTAGCCCTTATCAACTGAGCGCGAGGTCTTTACGGCAAAATATCGGACCGACGTTTTTTGTGCCGACCGAGCTCATAACTAGTAGGAAATTTGCAGAAAAAGATGGAAGTCCGATATTTCTTAGTAAACACTGAGAAAGCGGGTTTAATAGGTGGTTTATTATACAGTACTATTTAACCTCAAACGAAGTTTTCTTTCTTTTCTTGTTCTTGATGTTTTTCGAGAACTGGCTACACTTCTCTGGTTTTTGTTGGCAAAAAGTAAATTGCTTCGAGTGTTTTTCCTTTGACTTACATTTTTGGATGGTTTTTTTTCGTTTATTGGTTTTTGCAAAACGTTTGCTGTTTGCTTCATGAGTTTTGTCTACATTTGATTTTTAAATTTTTTCTGAGCCAATCAAACTGTGCCACTTCACTGGAAGTGGCGAATCATATAATAACAACTTTTTAATTATTGAGCCTACAGCAATTTATTCATTTTTCTTTCTTTCATCACGCTATAGTTTGGATTGAGCTTTTATTTGAATATTTTGAACTGCAAAGAATTTTCATATAAACATAATACTCAGGTTAGGTATTTATCTGGAAAAAGGTAACTTAAATACTATGTTCGTCAACTACCAAGTCTTTTTTTTAAATTCACAAATATCATTCTTTGAACCATCAACTGACCCATGTTTCATACCAAATGGTCGTAAAATGAAAGCATGCTGTGCGAAATCGCACATTTCTAACTCTGAGTCTAATTAAAGCAGTGCACATCACATAAAAAAAATTCAGATATATTCAGATAAAAGGAGTCATAGCAAGTGTGAATTTTACTATCAAGACGAAGCGAAGTTTGTAGAAAACAATCCGATATTGCTGTCAACATATTTTTTCCGCAATGTATTTGTTTGCGAAGTGAAAGGCAAATTTTTAAAGTTGATTTAAAAGCGATGTAAATTATTTAACGAGAAAGCAGAGTGTATTTTGATGAAATTTATCATAGCAAGAATAAATTTTACTATTCAGACGAAGCGAAGTTTGAAGGGGACAATGCAATTTTAGTCTCAACATCAAGTTGCATCAAGCCATCGGCCATTTTATAACGCGAATTTCTTCATAATAAAATATAAAATAAAATGCTATTTACCGTATAGGTCGGTGCGTACTTAAAAAATATTTTCACTTGGCCTCAAAAGCGTCCATCGGCCTTCGACCTCGGGCTGTTTTTGAGACTTTGTGAAGATATTTTTTCCGTACAGACCTCCAGGCCGGTAAATAAAATGTATTTATTTTTTATTTTGCGGTCCAAAGCGATAGTTTTTGATTTTCAGTAATTTGATTGGCTGCCTGAGCGGGTAGCTTTTTACGATATCTGCCCGTGAGCACAAGCGATATTTTTTTCGCAATGTATTTGTTTACGAAGTTATCATAGCAAGAGTGAATTTTACTATCAAGACGAAGCGAAGTTTGAAGAAAACAATCCAAATTTATGCTTAAAATATTTTATTCGCAATGTATTTGTTTGCAAAGTGAAATGTAAATTTTCAAATATGATTTAAGATCGATGCAAATTGTTCTACAAGAAAGCAAAGTGTTGTCGAAACGTCAGTCAACAACAACAAAAACAGTCCTTCTCAGGACTTTATTAACCTGGACGATCATCATTTACAAACATATAAAGCAAAGTGTATTCAGATGAAAGTTATCATAGCAAGAATAAATTTTACTATCAAGACGAAGCGAAGTTTGTAGAAACAATCTAATTTTAGTCTCAACATCAAGTTGAAGCATCGGGCCATCGGCCATTTTGCAACGTTAATTTCTTCATGATAAAAATAAAACAAATTCCTAAATGATTCTCCGTCCTTTCCGTTAAAAGACATTGTACTTAGCTTGCCCGGTTACCAAGTTATAATCAGATCTAGATCGCTGCTAACAAACTTTTTTGATTTACCTCCGGGCGATTTCCAAATGCCCACCAATCCGACGGTGTTTTCGACAAAATTTCGCAAAGATGTCAGGTCACCTGTCCACTTTAATCGTTGACCATCGAACATCAAAAGGGCTTTTATTAACTTAATGGCATGTATATCTGTTATATCTCGTATGATCCGGCTTATTTCGAGCGATTCCATTTGAACGTCTACCGCCGCCATATTGTCCTTTATGTAAAAGTTAAAATATTTTTCTATCCGGACCTCCCAGGCGATAATTAACATATATATGTTTCAGCATAAGAAAAACTACATGTAGTTCACGTACAATATTGTTTTGAAATTAAATTGCCTTTTATATTTGCACTGCATAGTCCAGTTGGCTATATTTTATGCTCAATGTATTTCAGGTACTTTTCATTTAAAATTCTAAGTTAAATGAAATTCTAAGCCAGTTTTTTGTTCTCAAGTTTGTCAAAAGAATGAAAACTGTAGTGAATGTCGTAATCTGCAGACGACAACAAATTTTCATAAGAAGCATAATTCAGCATATAAGCACATATAAATATGAGCCTCCTCTCCCCACTCCCCCAAATCATCAATCTTCCGATAGTTTTCACTACGTATTTCTTATTATACTCCAACCTCATATTTCAAACTGAAACAGATCACTTAAAAAAGGGATCATGGGATCAGATGGATCAGCTTTGTTAGGAGTAACCGCTGGCCAGTACGATGCAGTGATATGTGTTGGTGTTTTGGTCCTGGTCATGTAAAAGGAAAAGGAATGGATGATTTTATTCATGTAGTCAAGCAAGGAGGCATGATACTCTTTACTATTAATGAAAAGATTTTGGATGATCCTGGCTATGAATTTCATGAAAAATTAGAGGAATTAACAAAACAAAGAAAGTGGAAGCCCATTTTGAAATATTTTGAGCGAAGATATGCGAGCGACGTAGGTGCATTTTACTATATTTTTAAAAAACAATGAAAATATTTTTATGTTCTTGTAAAGTTGATTATTGATGCTCATTTGTTAATTCAAATACAAGATCAATGTATTACCTAAATGGTAGAAAGTAATTCTAACGTTAATTTGAGCGTTTTGAGTGCATACGTTCTTCGTGTATGGTCTGACATCATCGCAGACCATTAAACAATATCTTAACTTTTGAGCAAATCCTGTTGAGAAATATGGCAGATCTATATTATTTAACGTAGCCCGAACAACCTCTGTAATAGTTAAAAATTAGAATACATACAGGTGTAATGTTTTCCAGGAGCATGGTAACACAGACTGCATAACTTTTGGTGATACAGGTGGCTGCTAGTATTCATAAATGCATGTCGTGCCGTGTTAAATTTCTCCTGCATGGACTTTAAAAGTTCGAGAAAATCACCAGTTTTGATATAAGCCGAAGAGTCAATAAAGAGAATGTGTACAAGATATGTGAGACATATATATCATAAAAATTGGCCACATAAATAAACAATTAAAATGAAACCAAAAACTTCTTTTGAAAAAATTTTCTCCCAACACAAACTATTTATTATCTTAAACTATTTTTCATTTCATTTTTCTTCACAGGCCTAAGCCCAGGGTTGAAATTTCAAAAAGATTCTTTCGATTTAGTCAAATCTATATAAAATGCACAGCTTCTTTGCATACGCATATATACATGCAGAAACATATTAAAAAATAACATATACTTTGTTGCGTATTTTTATATTGCTAAGAAATTTACCTCATAATGGCTATTTGGCTTCATTTATTGACAGCATGTTGATAACGCATACACAAAAGTCATCGTTGAACTCTGCAAAAAAACATGTTTATTTGATTAAACTTTTAATAAAACGTCGCACTTCTGCATTCATATACGTGGCCAAGAAATAGTCATTTCGTAAGTAGATAGTTAAAAATTTCCCCCGTGGGAAACGATCAACTAGAAACCACAGTTCAAACGCTGTTATGAATTGTTTGTACTTATCTTTATTTTCATCAGAAAGCCTGCTAAATTTCGAATCCAAATCAACACAGTTATAGACTCTGATTATAGGTCAAGCAAAATGCATTGCGTGCAAGTCACAGCGTGAAGGCCATTTGTTGGCCGAGAAAATGACGGCTTTTGTAATTCTCGAAGTATTTATGATGTAAGTATTTATTAACATGCACTTGTGATTTGAAATGCTTCTTTTCCTAAGCGTGGAAGGCCAAATTCTATTGGATTAATTTGTGATAATTGAATTGATAAAAAAGATATTAACATAAACAAAAGCGGAAAGTGCATCTTGGTTCACACAAATTCTTTAATTCTTGTTGCGATAAATAAAGCAACTGTTTACCTTTCAAGTTTCAATGACTGAATGACACGGGCAAAAGCCATTGAATATAAGGAAAATGACAAAAATTCGAAAGTTGATGAAGTCGTTCTTTAGCAATGATTTGGAACCCAGTCTTCTAGATGTCTAGCTACCGTGTCAAGCTGGTTAGCACTATTTTCCACCCAGCAAACCGCCTTTACTTTGAAATATAATATTTTACACAATATAATATTTTACACAATCTAATATTTTCACAATATAATATTTTATATAATATTTTACACAATCGTCGAAAACGACATATTTTCCAGCCTGGATTATAAGTTTATAACTTAAGGTGGTTGCATGAAAATTTAAACTGTAACATTTATCTGTAAATATTTTCATATGTTGATATTAAAACTGTATTATAAAATATAAAATTACTCGCCATCTCAAAACGACCTAGCACCAGTGCATGCATGGTTTCCTCTTAGCTTTGGTTCTTCCCATTAGCCGCCATCTTAAATTTATTTCCGATTGTGTAAAGTAAAGGGCGGTTTGCTGGGTGGAAAATAGTGCTAACCGTCAAGCTGAGGCAAGGACGCCATCTTGAAAGGTGGCAAAAAGCAAAACGCAAAATGAAAAGTTAAAACAAAGTTTGAAAAACCATCCTATCAAACATTTTAATAATTAAACCTTAACTATCACCTTTGCAACTCTATATCAGATAAGAAAAAGCAGATATTAGTCGTAAATGTCGTCAGTTTTGCCACCTTTCAAGATGGCGGCTTGCATCATCATTACTATTCAATATCGGCGGAGTCAGATATCTAGTATATTGGGTTCTAAGTCATTGGTCTTTAGCGACAGTTTTTTGCCACTTGTAAAGAAATCATTAAAATGACTGCAAATTAAATTTCCTACATAAGCTTTAAAGTGGATGAAATTGACGACTTTAAAATATTATCCTTTGCACTTGTATAACTTAATAAGACCTTATCACCGCTTTCAAATTGTGTTGGAAGCAATCATCTTTCATAACTTTGAGCTCCACACACTCGTGTCTTGAGGTAACGTCACGCAAATTTTGGCTTTATCAAAGCCATCTGAAGGAAGCGTTCCAATTATATTCATTTCTATGTAGAAGTGGCATTGATGACGAATCTGGAGAACGCCAGAGTTGGGGCCAAATTCATATCCCGGATGTATCGCTAGGCCAACACAAAGGAGCCAAATAAGCTTTTGCCGTTTTCTTTTGAGTTTGGATTCGTTTTTAATATACTGTTGTATAAGTGTTTCTGTTCTTTGTCCAAATATAACAAAATTTTACATATCTAAAGCGTTTGTAACTGTTTTACCGAGCTGTTAAAACGATTACATGTTTTACAATCACCGTATGCTTTGCATGTTTTAATTGAACTATAAGTGATGCAAACCTATGTTGTTCTTTTTAGTTTTGTTTTTCAACCATATATTCACATTTTCTTTCCATTTTAATATTTTTCCGGTATAGATAGCAAGCAGATGTTTCTTTAAGTTTCACAGCAGTTGAATAAGACGAAAAAGGCTTTTTATCAAGCAAAGCTTACGACTTACAATTTACATCAACACAAAATGTTTTGCAAATTATGAGTGCTCTAAACCATCTAAAATGACGATAAAACAAAACATAGTTCAATATATTGATTGTGATAATATTAACTATAATATTTACGCATAATCTAAACAAAATGTCAAGAAATCACAATCGTCCTCAGTCTGGCCTCAGTAGCTTAACATCCGGGAATGGACTTTGCCCTCCAAAAAACGCGTGTCATTTTTTCGTCTATAGATTATATTACGATGTCACCTCTAGTATTATTTATAACCTCTATGAAACAAACGCCGTTTTTTTAGCATTCAACCAACAAGCGCCTTTGTTTTTAAAAGGTTATTTTACAAGTAGAAATAATTTAAAAATGTCAATATTCTCATCATATAGCTCTATCGCCTCTATCAGTTGCATTAGCTATGACCTAAGAGTGAGTTGTTTCAGTGCCAAAAGATGAGGAATGTCATCAAAACACAAATGCAGCTTCTACAACAAATATCATTTTAAAGCTCATGATTCAGTGAGTAGAAATTTTCCAGTATATAATAATTACAATGATAATTTAAACTCCAGTTGTATTAATATACTCGTCTAACTCATTACACAGTTTATCCATGGCTGGTGAAAGCTCTCGAAACTTTGACAAATCTCTTCCAATAAGACAAGTCAGATTTACAACCTAAAACAAGAATAACAGCGCAAGTGTTGATCACTATGTATCTTGGACTAAGAAAGACTAACCTGTTTTTATTATCAATATATCATGCCGTTTTTTGCTAAATAGTCCAGTTTAAGCTAAAAAGTCTTTGTTCATAATAAGGGTAAGAGGCTGAGAGATGGAAGGATGTAGGAACTGGAAAGGTGGATGACGCAATTTGATATATAATTATGAAAGTAAAAAGATGGTATAAAAATTCTTTCAAATAATTTAATTATGTACGATACCCCCATTATAAAATGACAAGGGGGAAACGCGTGCTCAGATTGGTCGATGCCCGTGTTTGGATCAGGCCCTCAGAAATTTGAAATTGCTGAATGGCGTAAGAATTTTGAATATGTCTGAAAGTGTGTAAATGTGAACTTAAATCAATATTGGTGATTTATCTACACATTTAAAGTCAATAGCCTTTCTGTATTTCTACGTTTTAGTGTTTTTGACTTCGTTCTTTTACTAAATTTCGCACGCTTGGAAGAACTTAGCTGTCATATTACCTCTCATTGAAATAAAGCTTACAGCACCACTTTCTTGATGTTATTTTATAAAACAATCACTTAATGCATGGTTTCAAGTGTTTAGATGGCCTGATCCAAACACTTGGGAGTTAAAAGAGCAAATTATTCGCCTTCGGTTTCGCGCGCTTTCTTAGCTAAGGATCGCAAATGCTGCTAGTTTGTTCGCGCGATCAAAAATTTGTTCAAATAATTTAACTATGCTGCAAGTCATTAAGCTCGCTCAGTAACTCGCAGGCACTCGCAAGCTTGCGAGTACGTTTTGCGACGAATGGAAAAGAGCCTTAACTCTCGCTTCATTCACTCCCAAGCGTTTAGATCGAGCCATCCAAACACGGCAATTATTACAAAATGTCAAAGTTTTTGCCCAAATTAAACCCATGTCAAAAATAAATAGTAATACTACCTCTGGACTTATTTTCATGAAGTTTCGCAGAGCCATTAAACTATGGTAAACTGTAAAAAAGGCGAATTAATGAATTTTAACTATCAGCTTTTATCATTCTCGTGTCACTGTTAAAAGGATGTAAACTGTCAACTAAATTCTTTTGACAACTTTGTTGATAATAAGCTTGAAAACGTATAATTTTTAGCCCGTTTCAAACTTGCAATTTTTTCGCGTCTGTTTGCGACGATAAAAATTTGAGTTCCATCGATTTCTACTTTTTCGCTGCGAAAAAATTCGCTAGCAAATCAAATTTCATTGTTTTCATTTGTGCACGTTCGTCAATCAAATGTCCGTTTTCAAAATGGCGGACGTTGAGGAGTTATTTGTTCGCTTACTGCAGCACATTTTGGCATATATTTACATTTCTAAGTAACTTAGAGGCAAATCCATTGGTAAAATTATATTCTTTAGAAATTCAAAACCAATAGTGTTTTTCTAAAAGTACTTTGAAGCAGCTTTCATGTATTTTGACTAATGCTGTATCCGCTACTGAAAACAAACATTGCGTATGGAAACATATTCCTGGTCGTAAAGACGACATAAGCTCTCTCACGAGCAAACAAATTCTCCTTTTCAGTGCAAGTTTCACCTATGAAAGAGGTACGTTATTTCGAGGCATGCAGATGCAGTCATCTATCTTGTATATGTTTGTTATTATTTCGCAGGTTTATTAAATTATTCGCGAGTTGAAAACCGACTTTAGGCCTATATTTAAATACGTTGGACGAATAAACAAAATCGCATCACACTAAGCTCGAATTATTGCAGCGTAAACGGAAAGGGTTGCACTGTCAGTTGAGAGTTTTCATCCAGTATTTACAGCAAAAGACGAAAGCGAGCCGCAAGAATTATTAATAAATGTCGAAACACGGAAAACTTTATGGCGTCCGTAGAAAATAGTTTGAAATCGTCTACATTTATTTATTGTATAATAAAACAATTGCTTTGCTTTGGATGAATCCTCGAATAGTTCTTAAATATATGTACGAAAAACGACAATATCGACGAATAAATTAAAATTATTATCACTTATATAAAAATATTCTAATTCGTGAGATTCGCCCGTATATTTCATTAAAGAAACGCAAAACAGGTAAATACCAGTGATCAAAAACGTTATACAGCTATTTTACCTGTCTCTTTAGGCAAATGTTCATTTTTCTGGATGCATTCAAGAATTGCAGAAGAATACTCAATGGCCGATTCATTACTGACCTATGAAATAAAAATTGTTTGTTAGCAACTGGCAAGTTTACAGATTGTATTAAATCATAAAGTAGAATTACCGAGAGATTATAGAGAGAGTTTTGTAGTAGCTATTAAAATAAATACTGGATAATTTATGAAAGGACAAATATTGAAATTTTATGCGATTCCAAAAAATGTTTAGCAAAACTGCAGTATTTAGAATAGAACTTCATTTCCAAATAAAATTTTCTTTAGCGTGTCAAAAAGCCTTCGTGAAAATATTTACATTTAAAATATCTTAAAAGCAATTCGAATGGTAAGATTTGCGCCGAAAAAATTTATACCTAGAAAAAAACATCAAAACTATGCATATTCTAATAAAAAGTTATTTAGTAATAAAGAGTTATTTTAAATCATTATTTTAAGGCTTACTGCGTGCGTATAAAGTAAAACTCTCAACATCACCAATGCTCAAAAGAACGTTGCCAATGTGTTTGGTGAAGATGACCGTTCACTTTCGCTTTAGCTCCATATGAAAGAGAGTTTTTAACCGGTCATTAATACAACAATTACGAGAAAAATTTTTTTAAACTAATGATACTCATGTTTGACGTTCCTTGCTGCTCTTTATGGTGCGTTTATAGGGATTTCAATCATAAGGGAAAATTGATCATCACACAAATAACATTTTAGGAGTTAATGGATTATTCAAACGATTTAATCCGAGCACCATATGACAACAGAATCAAAGCCTTCGATCAGAACTCACTCTGAACATAAGTACAAGAGAGCAAACACGGTTTTTCTGTACAAAAATTGACCTTAAATATTTCAGAAGAACATTGAAGGAAGGAAAACAGATTAATAACTGTTGTAGAAGTCTTGAAAATTTGTCCGGTCAAAAGTCATTGTCCGCTGACCAGTAGTTATTTTGAGCCCTGCATCACTCTGCGTGAACATCAAAAAGGAAAATAAAAATGTCTATAAGTAGAAATTTCAATGCAACGTATGTCTGTAATAGAATTATCTTATGGTATCATGTAAACGATTTCTATGTTGTCATGCAATACTGTTATCGATACTTCTTAGTGATAATTGTATTCCATCCAAAATTTATAGAACCCAAAATTTGCTTCACATGATCCTATACGCAGACACTAATTTCTACGAACCTTTGACAAAGAGACATCACGAACTAAAATCACAGCTTTAACAATTTCGTCCGTGTCACCTTCCAGAAGCGACTTAACAATCGCTTCAACGTCGTTTTTGTTGTCCACCATATTTTCGTTGTCTAAACCAACGTTCACACCACTTGTCGAGTCTTTACTATTTTCACTGATCTCGGAATTTCTGGAGTGCGGCTGATTAATATTAGAAATCGTAGGTCTACAAACGGATAACGGAGTTTTCGTTAGGGCCACATGACGAAAATTTTTTGGGTGTAATTAACTATAAAACACATCAGCTTAATTTAAAAATATAAATTATGAAGATTTAGAAAATGTCATGTGTGTATTCCTAGCAGGAGATCCGCAACCGTAGAGACTCAATAACAGTAATGCATTTAATTCGACTAAAAATGCAACAATTACGAGTTACAAACCTTAGAAATATCAATGCATAACGTATTGTGGTATTGTATTAACAATTTAACTTTGGAAATATTCCCCAAAATTACTGACCTCGGTTGATCAATGGAATTTGAATCTGAAGAACGAGTAAAAGCTGAGGTCATTGATGAATTTCCACCAATAGGATGAGCCGCCAGGGATTCGTAAATTGGTTTGATCATCGCACCTAATTGCCTAAAAAGAAGAAATTTATAAAATAATGCAAGCAATACGCGTGCTCTGATTGATCAATTCCGGTATTTGGATCAGGACATCGTACAATGTCGTTGACTGTCTCGATGATTGCAAGGGGGGCATTGCATGTTATAATTCGCAGAAAACAATTGATTTCAAAGGAACTGAATACAGCAGAAAATGAATATATGAATACCCTCCCCCAGCAATTATCGAGTTACGTAGCTACAGCCTAGATTTCACACGTATGATGAGAAATTAAAAAAAAATATGGAGAAAATTATCGTGGGACTTAGAACTGCGCTATCTATTTTCGTTGATAAACATTTCTTAGTATGGTTTATTATAAAAATCCGCACCAAAAAATAATACCATAATTTCAATGGCCAGTATAACAGAAGAACTTCAACAAGACCCCCACAAACAAATCATTCCAATGCAAAGCTACACACTAACTACTTTGAAAACACACTTCGATGAATTTAAAAATAATTTTTTTTTAAATGAACATCAAAATTGAAAATACTCCACAAAATTCAGTTCCACAACAGTTCAACAACAAAACAGCGAAAAACTTCATTTCATCTCCTAAATTCATGACTTGAGACTCACGTGTTGAAAATTTCTTTGGGTACTTCAAGAACATGTTTCGGGATGGTTTGACCAGTGAGAAACTGAGAAACCTCGTTGGAGAACGTGTTACAGTTGTGATCAAACAAATGATAGCATTCGGGTCTAAAAATACGTCAATAGTTATTATAAAAATACGAAACAAATAAAGCTACACAATGACATGATTAACCCATGCTATCCACAAACTCATGTGAAATAGGCCAATAGAGTCGGCGTTAGATAATATCGGACTAACGTACAATTACGTAATCGTTTGTAAAAAAACCGGAAGCCAGAAACACAATTCTTCATGTTAGTAGTTTACACTTCGGTCAATATTATTAATATTCTCGCTAAATATACCTCTTTTTCCGAGGTAAACGATGTCGTTATTTGCATTTTGTCTGGTAAGTGTCAGTGTAAGCTTTTTAATTGTATTAGTAGAGGCACTCGTGAGTTTTTAAAGACTGCGGCGATAGGCGTAATTACACTTGAAACTATACTATTACTTAATAACAACATACTTTGAGATATTTCTTGACTGTATCATCTAGCTCTGTCTCGCATCGTTACTCTCTATGGATTCAGAAAAGCCTCGTAACGCGGTCTAACAGTTAAAAACTCGCTTCGTTACTATCCATCGCTACATAAAAGCCTCGTCATGCGGTCTAACTGTTAAAAACTCGCTTCGTTACTATCTATCGCTTCATAAAAGCCTCGTTACGCGGTCTAACTGTTAAAAACTCGCTTCGTTACATCTATCGCTTCAGAAAAGCCTCGTTACGCGGTCTAACTGTTAAAAACTCGCTTCGCTACATCTATTGCTTCAGAAAAGCCTCATTACGCGGTCTAACTGTTAAAAACATACACCAAGAAAAAGTACTTGCTGTTTTGTTTTATTCGTTGCATTTTGTACGTAATTCTTGAATTTCAAACGATTACAATTGAGGAAAATGCCGCCATGTTTTTTAATTTGAAAACAAGTTTGTTTGGCTTTCACTGCGTTTCGGCCAATCAGGTTACATTATTTACAGGGCAATTACACTTTTGTAGAGTGCCATTACAGCTTTTCAACAATGCAATTACACATGCAGTGCAATAATAATAAACTGCACTGTAATCAACAAACCACAGTCAACGAATACCTCAAAGTACATTATTATTACATTAAAATATGCAGTAATCGTGAAAATAGTGTTTGTTATATGCATTTTACACTCCACATACACTTCCCCTGTAGTTGAGAGATAAGGAAAGAATACATATTTTATAATTTTCTCTGCTACTCTACTGAGATAAATGTCACGTTTATTTCATACAATAATAACAAGGAACGAAGCAATAAGCTTACACTGATAATAAAGAATTGGGTGAACAGTTTCCGGTAACATTTTTATCTTTGTACTTTCTATATACGTTTGATCAACCTTTGACAAAAAAATTCATACAAGATATTCTAAAACTACGAGAAAAATTGACCATGAACTTATAATGTACCTGAACTGTTGCTCTCCAACTTGAATTAGGAATAATTGAAACTCTTCTTCCGAGAGCTGGGTGGCGCCTAGGTCATGAATTTCATCGGGTTCACCCAGCACTGTACTACACTAAAGATAAAACAATTTTAAAAAACTTAAAACCATTATATAAAACAGGGATGGATTTAGGTAAGGACTGCGGAGTTCACATCCCGTCTAGCCTTAACTAGAAGGGGTAAGGGGGAGCAAATTTCACAACAAATATTAATATACCAACCAATAAAACTAAAAAGTTGTCAAACTACATATTTCTCAGGATCTCAAGTCAAACCCACAAAAATCTGACATGTGAACGACATAACGACACCCACAAAGAATATGAAATGTTTCGCCAATCATTTGTTCAGTTGCATATTGTACTATCGTAACGCCAATACGGAAGTCGGAAAGGAGACTTCCCATGCATGAAGGGTAACCAATTAAGTTCTTAACAACACTGTGTTGTACTCTTATACATTCATGTATAATGTATGCTTCAAAAATATATTTATTACAGCACATTTTAACATCAAATAAAGGAATGTTAATAAAGTTGTACTTGTACTCGTAGTCATCATCTTAATTAAAATTTGCTTCACTACGTGCACGTCATCTTGTTTATAGAACCCAGATCCCACACGGTCAAAACACGTAGCAATAGTCGTTCCGTATACTTGAGTAGTTTCTTAGAAAAGTACGTAGCTATTTCGTCTGCAAAACTTGTGCAATAAATCATCATAATCTACTGCCGACAATATAAGTCATTACAGGGTCATATTGGCACGAGTACCTGGACTATTTTTCAAGATAACTAGAGGAATTCTAATAACAGAAAACCAAATGGTAGAAATTGAGAATACATATTGAAAGACAAGATCGACATCCTCAAACCCATTTCGTAGGAAATATAAAATTAAATTTTGTAAAACATCTACCTTTCAAAATTCATTTATAAACAGGTCAACTAGAGTGTCGAATATCCTGCCATACAACATCTCCAGTAACAAACTAACCCTTTATCAATCTCAACCTGAACTTCTAAAATACTATAAGCAAACCTTAAAAAATACTTATAATGCAGTCGATCCTAGAACTTTGAAATCTATCTGTTTTTGTTGTAACAAGTGTCGTTGACTCTCGAGGGCAAAAATCTATTGTTGTGTTTAAGTAACTGTGCATAATATTTTTAGGGATCGCTATAGTAGGCGCAAGCTGTTGCGATTTTCCAGCTATAAAGAAAAGTTAAACAAATAAATATAAGCACGTGTCCAATCTCTGTGGGCTTAAGAGCTCAACAGGTAGAGCAACTGAGTAGTATTCCGAAGGTGCTAGTCCAAATCTCGTCCAAATATGTTTTTCATGCGCGTATAAAAACCGTGGCAGGATTAACATCATGACAACCACTATGCAATCAGCCACTAATGCACATTTAAAAGAATAATGTGGTATATTGATGTTAGAAACAGTCCTGCATAGTTAGTCTATCAATAGGTAATTATATTATAACCCAAAAGCAAGATAACGTGTTGAAAATATCAACAACACCGTATGGTCACAAAATCAGCAGGGTGAAACAGGCACTAAACTAAGACATGGTCACTTGAGACTTCCATTTCATTCAATGAGTAAACTTACTTACTGGTCTGGAATATCCAATTCCATTAGATCCAAAAAATTCCTTTCAAAACCACAATACCTGTATGCCTAGAAGAAATAGTGGTTGAGTGGTTTGCCTGTAAAGCATTTTAAACTTAACCTAGAGACCATGGACGAGGGAAGGTCAATAAGTAGGGGCACATATTCATCAACATATAAGATACAGTGGTAAGCTCCTTTCAAATTTATTGTTCTCAACCTATTTTGCAATACATGTATGAATATGAGCCCCCCAATTGTCAATCTTCCCATGCCCCTGGCAAACCTACATTAAGTGATCAGACTTCAAGATTTCCCAAGAGAAAATCACCAATATATTAACAACCAAAAGCAAACAATATAAAACCTTGAATTGTTTGTAAGTCTAATCTGTAAAGCTGAGATAGCATTGTGCACATGGTACAAACTTGTCACAAATTTGTCACTACTGATTTAATTTAGGTCTATTTAATTTGTGACTATTATACAATTAAATTTTCAAGGAAGCACCACATGACCTCTTTAATACTTGGAAGCATTATACAGATTTAACAGAACAATTATAGTAAAGATTCAGACACAAAATTGATCTGCCATAGGTAGTGGTCCTGTCTACCTCTCGGCAATCACCTTACATGTTAGTATGTATCGGAGAATAGTTCATATAAATGTACCAATACAACAAAATTTAGAAGAGGATAGCAAATTTTGTTATTGTCTATGAGAAAAATATGTAGTAAAGGTAATAAAACATAGTAAAAAAGTGTACTGTAAAAAGTTTTGGTATACATGTTAAACTTAAAGCAGTAGCGGATCTAGGGGTAGTCATTGCGAGCAGCAGCGAGTAAAATAAATTAAAGCTGCTTTAAAGTAGCTTAAATTCAATTTACTTTCAGGAATGCAAAGTACTTTCGGAAAAGCACTATTGGTTTTGAATTTCTAGACAATACAATTTCACCAATGGTCTTGTCTCTAAAGGCTTAGAAAGGCAAATATATTCCAAAATGTGCAGCAGTAATTTATTTTGACTAACCCTTGATCCGCTACTGACTTAAAGTATATGTTAAGCTTTTTCAAAAACAGTTTTATTATAATGGGCAAAAGATTTTTCACATGACTTGATTCATTAACTCCTAAGTAACAAAGTGAAGTGAAGTAAATAATAAAGAAAAAGAAATTTGTAATGTAATCGTCGTTGGTATAGTCCTGAGAAGGACTGTTTGTTGTTGTTGACTGACGTTTCGACAACCTTAGTGGTAGTCATCTTCAGAGTCAGTCAACAACAACAAAAACAGTCCTTCTCAGGACTATACCAACCTGGACGATCTACATTTACAAACATGTAACAATACTCCCGGGTTCAAACCATTTACTTTAAAAAGAAATTTGTAACGTACGTACCATATTCCATTGATTTGCTTTCCTATAAAATAAATTAAGCCAATTAGTAAATTGTCTTTGATAAAGAAAATTAAAAATAATTTAGGAATGAGTAATGGCCAAATCCTTTCCAATTATCAAGTTGTATGCAGCACTAATAACTATCGACAGAATACCTAATAGCAGTCTTGAGATGTAGATGCTTTCATGCACAAAATGCATGGAGAAAGTATGTATTTCACAAATTTACTTTTAAGAACCAGCAACAACTTGCCCATGCTCAATGTTTTATTTTCCCTGAGTAAGGACTTGGTATGTTCTTAGCTTGTTCTTACCAGTCTTTTCAGCGATATATTCCTCCTATTAATTACCATAATGTACCCATATGACAACAGACAAGATCGGCTTTATAAAGCATCGTTTTAAGATTAACTTTTAAATTACAACAGCTTTATCTACATGCGTACATAAGCGAACAAAACTGAGCTATTGAGTTCTTATTGTTAAATAATCCACTCTATCCTTAAATAATATGAGGACCTCTGATTTTTCTATTACCACTGTACAAATCACTAAACACTAAAGTTAGGTAAGTTTTCGTCAGCTTCAATTTGTCATTATTTTCTCATTTTTTGAGGATCTAATCTCAATGATTCAAGATTCGGCCTCGATATTCATTATAAAAGTGCAAGTAACTTTCAAGTTGATACAAGTAGTTAAGTTAATGATATTAATAATATACAAACCTAAAACAAACGGTGACATTTGTCGTGCAAGACCACGGGTAACATCATAAATATAGAGCTTTACATTACACGCAGAAGACATGATTACTGGGCAACAATAGACCCCGGCAGAGTCAAAAGCAAAATATAAAGTCAATATTGCTAAAAGAAAGTAATATAATTTTTTGTCGATTCATAATGATGTGTTGATGTGCTTGCGGTTAATTTATTTTCGTATTATTAAAATCCATACATCAAAATTACACATTCGTGTAATAAAAATTAATGCCCAATATAAAGTTTTGATTAGAGCCATAGAAATAGACCAGAAAAGTTGTAAAATTGAATTTATTGTAACGTTTTGTCTTTACTCAAGAAATCTTCAGACAAATAATAAATAGGATGTTAAGACAAGATATTATATTTACAAAAAAGTGTTAAATTGCTACTAAAGGAGGCGGTGTCAAATTAATATATGATAAGGAAGTTAGGAAGTAAAATAAAGAGAAATTAAAAGAGGTTAAGTGAAATGGAATTTCCTTGCACATTAAGTGAAGGCTTGTATTTATTGATTAGAAGGCTCTCATGAATGGAAAATTCATAAGAATCGTTGGAAGAGGAGATTATTTTAAAGTCGTCTAAGTTGAGGGTGTGTCCAGTTGCGTTAATGTGATCAAAATGCTTGACAACGCAGGGTGGGAAACTTGGTTGCCTCTAAGGGGGGATATTCCCAAGTGCTCCGAAAATCTGGTGTGTAGATGGCGTGTGGTTTGACCCTCATACGAGGTGTTGCAGCTTCGACACATGAATAAATAGACTACACCAGATCTCAGAGGTTTGGGAATTTTCCAGACTCGATCAAATGCAAATTAAAAGACATTGCCCACTCAGGTTTCCGAAGTTAAAGCCCACCACCTTTCCTATACTCACAAGAAGACTTGAACATTTTAAATAGTTTAAAAAACGAGATAACTATCCTCATCACTAAACCTGACAAAGGAATTGGCATCGTAATACTTAACAAAGACGACCACATAAAGAAAATGGACACACTCTTATCTGACACTACAAAGTTTCAACCTCTTGATGGAGATCCAGTAAACGTCACTTTACAACGAGAAAATCAAGTGAAGTCTTCATTAAAAAAGTTGAAAGATGCTAAATCTATCGGCCAAGAAACTTACAAAGAACTTTACCCTACTTGTTCACGAATAGGTATATTGTATGATCTTCCTAAAATACATAAATGTAACATCCCTCTCAGACCCATTCTTTCCTTCATTAATAATTATTCATATAAACTAGCAAAGTTTTTCATCCCACTCCTAAAACCATTCACTATAAGCAACCTCTTCATCAAACACTCTTTCTCGTTTGTTGAAGAAATCCTAAATTGCGATATCAACTCCAGTAATGTTGTCCTTGCTAGTTTTAATGTCGTATCCCTTTTTACTAACATACCTGTTGACGAAACCATCCGCATAATATCAAATAGCATTTTTAACAACCACCAGTACTTCAACGGACTCACTGCAACAGAATTTGAAAAACTACTTTCACTAGCTGTTAAGAATTGTCACTTTATCTTTAACGGGAAAATGTACCAACAAATTGATGGGTTGGCTATGGGCAGTCCATTGAGCCCTCTCTTTGCTGATATATTCATGTCCTTTCACGAACAATCCTGGCTTAATAAATGTCCTTCTTCATTCAAACCACTACTTTACCGACGCTACGTTGACGACTGTTTTTTACTTTTTCATTCCTCCGATCACGTCCCTCTCTTTCTTGACTATCTGAACCGACAACACCCAAACATCACATTCACAGCTGAAGTCGAAAAAAACAGAAAACTATCATTTCTTGACATTGACTTCTCTCGCACTAATGGAAAATTCACCACTTCCGTCTGCCGCAAACCTACCTTCACTGGCCTCTTCACTAACTTCCAGAGCTTCATCCCATTTACTTACAAACTTTCACTAGTCTCCTGCTTACTTCACCGCATCTTCAACCTTTGTTCTACTTACGAAAATTTTTATACACAACTCGAATTTACCAGAAAGTCACTCACCAAAAACGGTTTTCCCTCACGTATAATTGACAAAATCACACGTCGCTTCCTCAACAAGACCTTTGCCCCCAAACCACCAATCTTGACAGCTCACAAAATGCTCATCTATTTTTGTCTTCCTTTCACCGGCATACACTCCCTTCAAATTCGCACACAAATCAATAGCCTTTGTGCTGCATCCGACCCACATGTATCTATTCAATTCATTTTCCGCCCTTCCCAACGTATCTCTTCTTTCTTCCCCTTTAAGGACAAAATTCCCAAACCTCTGAGATCTGATGTTGTCTATTTATTCAAGTGTCGAAGCTGCAACGCCTCGTATGTGGGTCAAACCACACGCCATGTACACACCAGATTTTCGGAGCACTTGGGAATATCCCCCTTACAGGCAACCAAGTTTCCCACCCTGCGTTATCAAGCATTTTTGATCACATTAACGCAACTGGACACGCCCCCAACTTAGACGACTTTAAAATAATCTCCTCTTCTAACGATTCTTATGAACTCTCCATTCACGAGAGCCTTCTAATCAATAAATACAAGCCTTCACTTAATGTGCAAGGAAATTCCATTTCACTTAACCTCTTTTAATTTCTCTTTATTCTACTTCCTTACTTCCTTATCATATAATCCATTTGACACCGCCTCCTTTAGTAGTAATTTAACACTTTTTTGTAAATATAATATCTTGTCTTAACATCCTATTTATTATTTGTCTGAAGAGGTCTTGAGTAAAGACGAAAATTCAATTTTACAATTTTTCTGGTCTATTTCTATGGCTCTAATCAAAACTTTATGTTGGGCATTAATTTTTATTACACGAATTGGATTTCCGCTCGGCAAGTCTCTCGCTAAAATTACACATTGCTATAATAACTACACATTGCTATAATAACTACACATTGCTTACAATAATTATTTTGTAATCAATCACTTTGTTCTGTTTATCTGTACGTTGATTTAGTAATTTATGCCTTATCAAAAATCAAGATGACTCGTAATAAACAAGTTTCTTACAATAGATATTTGTTTCCTTTTAAGAAATATTCATTATTTTATGGCATGGCCTTTTAGTGAACTATTCAGTACTGCTCGAGATCAAGATGAAATATGATACCAGGGTATTTTATGTCACATTTTAAAGAACTGATCTTTTTAGCTGTAAGATAATGTTTTGTTGTTGAATGTCTTTACTCATTGCTTTGCTCCAGATAGAATACGACCGATAAAAGATTATCAAAATTTCAAAAGAAATCAGCGGGGCAGAGCTGAATATATAAATATATACACCAGCAGCAATCCAATATGTGATTCAAGAGAAAATCATCAGTGCAGAAGCATCAGCAACAGTTTGGTTTTGTAATTAAACTAGTTTTTGGTATGACTTGATATCTACATTTATTGGTTTCATTCAACTGGTCAATCATTTCGTTCACAAAATAAAAATAATGCTGTCAAGTGATTATTCGATCAAAAAATTCGTCAGGTGTACAAAAGGGTCCGGGTAACGTATAAGTTGCCATAAGACATTAGTAGAATGGTAGATAAGATTAAATGTAATATTTACTATAGCAAAGCCACGCATAGGAGACAGTGGACGATAAGATTTATCTCTTTGTACATTACGGTAATCCACTAAATGAATCTTTTTGCATCATTCTATTATTCATAATAGTATAAGCAACTAAATTCCATATGTAGCAATCTCTCTTTGTCCCTAAACAAGCAAAAAAGCCAAAAATTTGTCTTCTCTACATATAACGCCATATTGTATATGCTGGCGTTTGGAACAAAAATGGCGGACGCTAGGCAATTTTACTTCCGGGGTCCCGACTCTTACCAATAGAGGGCTCTGGAGCTAACACCTGGTTTCATCTGACACAATAGAAATCATCTCACTGTACTTAAATATGAAATTATATGTGTGCAAACGGTGTGTTTTTTTTTTAACCCTAACCCTAAGGAATTTTGGTTATTTTGCTCGGGTTTGAAAGTTAGATTAATGTTTTCGTATTATGACGGATGTTGATATAATTTAGGAGTAATTAATGTCTATTTTTACCATACTAACCGCATGGTTGGTTGGATACAAGCATAACGTCCTAGCCCAAGTATTGAGTTGCTTGGAGTCTGGGTCTCGAATAGAATAAAAAACATTCTGTGTAACATCAAATACGTTTCGATGAACCTGTCGGAAGACATACGAATCAGAGCAAAAAAATATTCACTGACACTGTGCTGACGAATACGCTGAATAATGATCACCTCGTTCACACTTAGTGACTTATATACCTTCTCTCGTCAGTTGGTTCCAGGCCACGACTGGTTCCTCGGATATTAACTTTGCATGTTCATTATATATCGTTACCATACTAACTACATGGTGGCTGATTGGAAGCAGGCATGGGCAATATAGCCCAAGTTTTTGGTTGCTTAAGATCCACGTCTTGCATTCTGTACTTTACCTCCAAAGATATTACACTATCACTCCAAGGAACGCAAATATTTTTCAACCTGTTTTCGTGCGATTTTATCTTGCATATGAAGCACTACTTTACATTCTCTTCCGGTTTCCCTAAAAAGTTATGGCTTTATCCATATGGCCACTATGTAGGAGCAATCATGAAAATGATGATGTTGAGGAGTTACTTTAGCTTTTCTGATGGTTATATAACTGTTTGTAGTTATTGTTTGTAGTTGTTGGTTATAGCGCTGTGGTATCAGTCTTTTTGTTTAATAACTGTATATATCATCGTCATTTAGAGGCTGTTTACAGGATCCCGGCTAACCGACATTCAGGGAGGCGTGAAAGGATTTGAAGGCATTAAAAAGAGTCAAAACTTCAAAGCTAAAAAATAAAACTGTTTGTTAAGCGCCAGAAGCCCTTCCTACTGTAATTCTAAAACTATGCCTCAATAGTTGTTTTCATTTTAAATGTTTCGGATATTTACAAAGTCAGAATATTGTACAAAATGCCCAAGAAAATTAATCTGATGATAAGCATTTAGTATTTTCCATTTGCCAAAATCATTTATCACTTCCATGAATCCTGCTACCCGGGCTCGTGTAATCAGCCGAATCATTGAACCGGTTGTAAAGCTTGTAATGCTTTCTGATCGTCATGATACACGGACCAAGTACCCGTTAT